CTTTAAGGTTTCAGAAGTGTTGTTTATAGTTGCAGCCTCTTCCTCTGGCTGGGGAAGTTTAGCTACGTTGTTTTGTTTCTTGGCCTTTGCCTTACCAAGGGCAGTTTCTTTAACTGGTTCTGTTATTTTAAGTTTTTTGCAAGTTGTTTTTAGAAGAAAAAAGTGAGAGAGACTTCTCTTCTTTGGTATGAGGGCCTTGGCCCTTGCTAGACTTGATTTGAAAAGGTTTTCTTTATCGCTTGAAGTGGTTATTTTGTTTTTTGTTGATAACTTTATTCCTGCCAAATGTGTACAAGAAAGAGTTGTACAGATCCTTTGGATCCAAGTATTCTTTAAACATATCATATCAAGAAAGATATTTTTTAACCGTATTATATTCAAAAAAGGTATTTATAAAAAAAAAATAACATTTTTTTACATAAAAGTTTGAGTTTAAAATGCAAAAAAAAAAAAGATCATCAATTATAGCAAAATGCTTTAATTGTTAGACAAGTATTACAAAATAAATTTAAGGTTAAGAATAATAAAACTAATAAAGACAGTAGAAGTAATACAAATGATAGTAGAATATCTGAAGAAGAGATAAGCGATGTTAGTGATAGTGAGGTGTTTGATAGTGAGGTGTTTGAAAAAGCAATGATAAATAAAAATGAGACAGAAATTATTGTTAGTAATTTATTTAAAAAAATAATTAGTCAAATAAATAATTTACAAAGAACAGACAAAAAATATCGACATGTTTATATTAGTAATTCTGTAAAAACCCAATGGTAAAAAAGAGCTAAAAGCAAACAAGTTACTGTAGAAACAATTTCTATTACAAGTTTTTTTTCAAAAGTTAAATCTAATTTAGAAAGTAGTAAGGAAGATAGTAATGATAATAATCAAAGCCAAAGTGATCAAGATAATGCAGATTATAATAATAGTAAAAACAATTAACAAAGTATTGAAAATACAATTGAAAGAATTGAAAAGTTTATAAAGGATAAGAAACTTGGCAAAATAGAGTTAATGTGATATCAATCAGTAGTTTGGTACTTCATCTTCATTAACAAAATTATTTTTTATAAAATCTACATAGCTCTATTAAGTTATATAAATACTATATAAATTTTTTATTTAGACTTACAAACCCAATATAGATTTATATAGTTAGAATTTTTATGCATGAATTAATATAATATTTATAGGCCAGTGCAAAAATGTAGATATACCAAGGCAAAAATTAAAAATCTCTACATATAAAAGTTTTTAAATTTTAATTATTTGCTTACAATTTTTTTTTATTAAATAAAGTATGTTTTGAGCTATCTTTTAATATATTTTTTATTATTTTTTTTAAGTATTTTTTTAAGTAATAATTTTTTTTATTAATTCAATTGTTTTTTAAAAAAAAGATAATTTTTTAGAAAAAATCAATTATTTCAATTAATATTCAATTTTATAAGCTCAAACTACGCAGGTATATTGCCATTTTTATCCTTAATATGTGCCAAAAATTTTAGCTTAATTGAATTAGTAGATGTTGTAATATAAAATTTTGAATTTAATAGCTAAATTGCTAAATTATATATATAATTTTTATACAACATAGTAATTTGGTTATTAAGTTTAAAAATTTATATTACAACATCTGTTAATTCAATTAAGCAAAATTTTTTGGTACATATTAGGGATGAAAATGGCAATGTACTTGCGTAGTTTGAGCTTGTAAAAATGTATACTGATTGAAATAATTGATTTTTTTTAAAAAAATTATATTTTTTAAAAATAATAATTGAATTTATAAAAAAATTTATTACTTAATAAAATATTTATAAAAAAATAATAAAAAACATGTTAAAAGATAGTTTTATTTAATAAAAAAAAATTGTAAACAAATAACCAAAATTTAAAAACTTTTATATATAGAGAATTTTAATTTTTGCCTTGGTGTATCTACATTTTTATACTAACCCATATAAAAATTATATAAATTCTATATAAAAATAAATGAAATTACTTTGGCTATTTCTCAAAAATGGCTAAGGTAATTAATATTTAATATACTAAGTAAAAATGTTCAGCAAGCTAAAAAACACTTCACAAACTCTAGTTTAAGCTTTAAAATTTATTTTAGCTTTAATATTTAAATTGAAATTTTTTTGAAATTTTACATAATTTTGCATAGAAATGTATATAGATTCATATAAATAGCTATATAAAATCTACATTAGATTTATAAAGCTACATAAAAAATATTGCTACATAACTCTACATAAAAATAATTTTGTGATGTTTTACAAAGCAAAAAAAAAAAATAGAATCAAGTGAAGCTATTGCAGCTATTTGTAAGAAGAGTAAATACTATGTCTAGTGTATAAAAAGGTGGGCAATATTGTCTAAAAGGTAATTTAATAACTTGCACATTTTTTGGTGGCACTTATAATATATATATTATAAAATATAAACTTTGTATTAATATACTATATTATTATAATAGGTGAAACTATATCTTAATGTTTTTATAAAAAATATTTATCCAAGTTGCTTCTTCATAATAAGACAGTGTATATATATATAGCTTTATATCTTAAATCAACTAAATTTAAAGCAAATCTACATTTAGTAAAACAATATTTTGAGAAAAAAATATTACCTGATTTTAAATTTACTACTCCACAAACAATTAGTGTTTATATAGTATGAATATAGATGCATTATTTTGACTTTGCATATAAGCAATATCAAAAAGAAATTTATACTGATAGCTATAAATTCCTTGATATAGTTGTATACCAAAAAAAGTTTTTAAAGCAAATAGCTAAATTTGATTTGTTAATACCTAAATAGTTGGATAAAGAGTGTAAAATAAAAACACTACCAGTATTATATTAGAATTAAAGACTTTATATTTTAATAACACATGATAAATTAACATTTCATATATATGATATATCACATTTTTTTGGAGGACTATATAATAAACAACCTTTAAAAAAAAATGGTTAGGTGCAGGTTTGCATGTTAGTAAGTTTTTAACAAAAGAATTTGAAAGATTAAAGGATGATAAGAAGGAAGCATAAGTTATTATAGCATTAGGATCAAATTGTAATAGATATTAGGATAGTGAAAAATTATTAGAGCAAGTATGCAAAGCTGTTAATATTTTTGAGTAAACATATTGGAGTATGGGCATTTGATAATTCAACAATATATTCTGCAATGGTTTTTTTTTGGATTATACAGATGATTCAAATAATTCTAGTAAAAGTTTGTGAGGTTTGCAAAAGATAAAACATATATATATATATATAGTGTTTAATAATTTATTTTTAAATTTTTTTATTTATTACATTATAATTAAGGAATGAAATTTGTTTTACAAGAGCAAGGATTATAGCAAGAAGGATTATTAGCAAATTGCAGAAATGAACATACTGGAACAGAATGTTGTACTCACCAAATACTTGCTAATCAATCTGACTTTCAGGCTCAATAGAGATTAATTCAAGAAGAATTAGAAAAAAGAGAATATATAGTAATTTTTTATTTGAAATTTCATCCAGAGCTTAACTATATAGAAATATATTGAGGTGCTGCAAAAGTATATACAAAAGAGTACTATAATTATACTTGAGCAGGTCTACTTTGCACTGTTTCTGAAGCTTTAGATTCAATTCCAGTAGAACAAATTCATGCATATACTTGAAAAAGCTTTCAGTAGATGGATGCATATTAATATGGTCTAACAGGGACAGCAGCTCAGTATACTATTTATAAACAAAAAAGTTATCATCAAATTAATGAATCTATATTACTATAAAATTTTATTGTATTGTATATAGATTTTATATAATAAATAAATTGATAAATTGGGTATTTTGCTACATAATAAATTTACTAAAGTTTTATGTTATACTATATAGCAATATTGTACATAGAACAATTTTAGACAATTTTGAACATTTTTTCAAATTAAAATTACTCGAAATTTTATTAAGATAATCTATTTTAATTTTTTTATAAATGAGTTCAGCACCTAAAAAAATATATAATTATATATTTTTTTAAATTATTTTATTAATTATTTAAACTTAGGACATAGGCTTGAATAATTTTGAACAATCTTGGACATTGGATGTTGGACATAGTATGGACACATCCTATGTACAACACTGCCATATAGACCCAAAATAATGCACACAGGTGTAATTTCAAATTCTGGCCTAAATTAAGCTTAATTCGGGCTAAGATTTGAAATAATGCCCTATGTATTATTTCAACATATAAAAATATAATTGGGTATATACACATGCATGTAACTCTGTATGATTTTGAAATTTGGCCACCCTTATAGAAGAGTTGTCAGAACATGCTGTCCCATACTATACAATTGTTGAGAAACACTATAAAAAGAAATGATAATGCAGCTGTTATACAAAGAGCCTTATGATGCTATCCAACTATCAGTTCTAAAAATGCAGAGTAACTTGTTAACAAAACATGACTAAATTCTCATTACTATAAAGGGAAGTATAGCTATTTGCATATTACTGAATTTGATATACTAAAATCTAAACTCTGAAAGTTACAAAAAAGTAAACTGGTTGCAGCAGTATGCAGGCTTGAGATACTTATCTAATTAGATAAGGGCAGCTACATAACTTGAAATATGAACTCTCTACAAGTATGCCAATTAGAAATTAAATTAGGCACACCAAAACTAAAAGCACTAAGCATCTACTTGTAGTATTAACACACCAATTTAGAAGTTGAAATATTAGATAATATAGATAAAGTGAAGAATATATGAAAGTTAAATAGAGATGGGTAAAAATATACAAAATCTAAATCAATAGTATAGTAAGAGTATAGTCAGCTCTGGTGGGTTTTAGCCATAGATAAATAGTTTGTATATCTGATATTTTAGTTTTAGTACTTAATATAATATGTATATATATTGGCACCATCATATGTCAATTATTTAAATATTAAATAAAGTCTAAATACAAGTGCTACATCTTTATAATTAAAAAAAAATAACAATAATAATTTTTAAAGTTGAATAACTTTTAATAAAAATAACAATAATAATTTTTAAAGTTAAATAACTTTTAATCTACTGCCCTGTTTTGGGTAATTTGACTACCAAAATGTTTATCTCAGTAAGATAAATTTAACAAATCTAAAATTATTAAAATCTAATTACAGAATTCTGAGATTGCTAAAGTTTTTATAATTTTAAAATTATAAAAAACTTTAGCAATTTTAGAATTCTGTAATTAGATTTTAATAATTTTAGGCTTGTCCAAAACGGACCAAATCAAAAGTTATTTAACTTTAAATATATATTATTATATATATTAAACGATTGCTATTTGTACACCAGGTGTATGTACACACATATAGGCGGTCAAAAGTAGAAATCACTGAATTTTGATAATCACAAGTTTTGAGATAATTGGCAATTCATATTTTGTTACACAAAACAAAACAAACCTAAAAATAACAATTTTGGATTATAAACCTGTTTGTTATTTCAATTAATTGGCTAATTTTTGTAGATCTACCATGGCCAAATATAAATAATTGAGTGCTGTTAAACATTGATCTGTTTTTAGATTTTGTCGTTTTACTATTTGAAAGTTTTTTAATGATTATAATTTTAAAATATACTAATTAATTAATTAAAAGTTATATCTGAATAATCTAAAAACTCATTTTTTTAAAAAAGGTCAAATTTGGCAGTTTCTACTTTTGACTGCCTATATATTGATATTTCAAAATCCTGATTATAGAATAGCTTTTGGGGTTCTAACAAAAAATATTCCTTGCAAAATTTTAGTATAAACTATAACCTCATCTAACCCTAAAG